CATCTTCACTCTATTCGTAATGCAGATTGCCCGGCAAATATTTGATCTACATGAAAAAAATACTTTCGTATGCAAAAAATTTCACATTGCAATTAATTAAATAATACATGCTTAGTGTTGTAATGAAGTCTGGTCCAAAGCACATATTGTCTGCATAATACTAAACCCACTATCTTGTATGCTGCTGTGAGTGCGTCGAGAACAGTGGGTCATCGGCATGTAGCCCTATCTCATTAAGCCTTCGGGCAATAGTAGACTCGGAGTCAGGCTATTTTATCTGTTTTCAGGCGATTATAATAATTCCAAAGAGTTGAATTAATGTGACCTCGTCACAAGTATGAAAGTTAAGCTCCAGTGGCAGCATGTGTGAGAGCTGTGAAACAGCTGCACTCTTCAGTCCCCGGGCTGAATGTGTCAAATAACGATACTCATTCGTCGTTATGGATCTTAATAGGATGTTTCTAATATTATCGATATGAATCCAGTGTCCTGAAAGTGTTTCACAAACTGCAGACAAACTTGGGCGTTATATTGAGCAATGCATCAACCTTGATTGGTTTGCCTCCAATCTACCGACAATTCTGCATATCATTTTATTTTCAATAAATACTCATGTTATCTTACAAAATTTACTCAACTCCTGCGAGACGAACGGCGATCGTCATGAAGGATTATAAGTACACAAACCACCGAAAAGCATTTGTGCGCTTATATCCCCTCCATAATGACAGCTCCGCAGACGTGCGAGTGTACGCTTACGTATTCGCCTCTGAATATTTACGTAATAATTCTGTGGCATATTTGATATCTTTGGTTCAATACATTTCGCAAAATTAGACATAACTTGAAAATTCCCTTAATTTTATACACACGTGTATATCAAAAAAAAGTAAAGAATTATTCTTATATTTCAGATCATACTTTTACTTATTTATTCCAAATTACAAATACTTTCGAGGTAAATTTTATAAAACTCACACCCTAGTTTCATGACTTATTCATTGTGCGGAGTAAAGTCAGTATTATATTTGTATTACATATAATATCTGCTAACGTTTGCTTTATGATGTAGTTGCTCGAGAATCATGGTTACACTTTACGATACTAGTTGGAAGGATTTTGAAGATTATGAATAATATTTATCATAAGATGGATGGCGTTTCTTTTAGTCCCGCATTCAGGCAATAGCAGCGATCCAAATTCACTGACAAAACATTTTATCGAAATTTGAAAGCATAAAAAGCAGATCTGCCTCATAAAAATATAAACCTGAATTTACTTCTGTACCCTACGCAAAACATATTAAATCTTAATATGCGTTTTACAGCAAAAACAGTTATCTAAAAATGAGAAATAAGTAATCTTCCAATGCTAACAACAATAGTGAGTACATTTAACCAGCTAAAATGCCTCTTAACGATAAGAAACAATAGTTTTTAAATAACTATGGGAAATCCATGTGGTACCGATTCCTTTCAAGTATCTTAAATATAGCTAAAATTCACTGAAAGTGCTATTACCTGCTATTTACACTTGTGACAAACATTTGACTTGTGCTCTAGTGATTTCAGTAGTAAACACGTCATGTTATTTCCTTTCTGACGAGTCTATTATTATCATGATTTTAATCCCAAAGCACGTGATTGTTCTTGACTTAACGTATTTTATTTAATATAACTCAATGAAATTACCCAGATTACCTCATATTTTGTAGCTTCAGGCAATAGTTTCAAATCTTCGGCTAATACGAGAAGGAACAGATTGCAAAGGTTTTTCTATGAAGTATCAAATGAGAATAGCAGAACATGATACATTTTATTAGACAAACATAAGACAGCAAGGGCTTTCTCTATTAAAGAATAAAATACTGCTTGACATTAAAGTGTTTCTTTCCTAATTTTCGACTTATGGTTTTCTGCTCCGCCTTCCAGTGAAATTTATGTTAATTACATTTTATGAATATAATGATTAAAAATATGTCAATTCTTGCTTCCTTGAACGAAGTAAAGGAAATATTGTAATCGCAGAAAATTCCGGGTATCATATTGAAACGAAAATATCCATTTTGACTGCTCCTGAATCTATCTGAATGATTTTTTTAGCGTGACAGATTTACGGACGGATAGAAAAAAAATTATTCTTTTCTAAACGGATTGTAAAATAGATTCAGAAGGTATTTGTTTCGAGGCGTCTGTACGTACGGACGTATGTACGTATCTTACATAACTCAACGATTAGCTGTATTACTCTGATGTTTTGTATACGGAAGTGCTAAACATTCAACTGTGCACCCCATTTTTTGTTGCAATCGGCAGCACCAGACGTGCATGTACACAACCTTTCTCAGAAATATTCCAGGACATTTTTTTTTACTTTTAGGTTTTCAGTACTAAAAAGGAACAAATGTTGTTTTTGTGTTGCCTGGTATGTATTCTTACTTCACATGATCTTGGTCATGTTTCCACGCAAACTCACTAAGCAGCAGAGCTGTCATTAGCAACACACTGTTCGAATTGTTTTCGCATTTGTTAAGGTGACACAATGAATGCTGATTGTGAGCAAAGTGTTAAGCTCGGGAAAACCCCTAGTGAAACGTAGAACATAACATAACTAAGCAAGTATTTGCAGGCAATGGTTCTTTCAAGAAGTCGTGTTTTCGAGTTGCATAAAAGGTTTGTGAAGGTGCAAGACGATCCCAGAGCTAGTCACCCAGTTATAGCAAGAAGACTGTTGTGTAAGTGTGCGTATGATATCAGAAGAACTGAGTTTGAGTCGTGATATGTGTCACACGATTTTACGCGAAGATTTAGGGAAAGGAAAAATTATTTAATGCAAGAGTCGTCCCTCTCTAACTAAAAGATGAACAGAAATAGGAAAGACGAAGAATTTCTGCTAAACGATTGAATAGCGCCAGACGTAATCCCACATTTGTGTCAAAGATTATTGTAATTTTTTTTTGTTTCCATGAGTAAAAAGCTAGCTGAAAGCTAAGCTTCATCAAGATTATTGCAGACATTCAACGGACTGTGACAAATGAGCTTGCATGCTTGAAGATTTCCCTGCTTGCTTCCAAGACCTCCAGAAACATTGGCAGTTGTATATAAGATAGCCAAAGAGAACAACTTTGTTTGTTTGTTTTGATTATTACTTGGTAAATGCGGTTTCCTATTTTTACGACCTGGAACGTCTCTGACAAAGGATGTATATATGTATATATATATATGCATCACTCTCTCTCTCTATATATATATATATACACACACCCATCCCCTTACACGGCTAGGTGAGCTCTTATGTGCGGCAAATTTTTCATTTCTTGGCTCAAGAGTTATTGAAATATGTTATTTTTACCTTCGAGTTAATGTTTTTATAACTTTAATTAATCTGCACTCAGTAATTGTAGCATTATCATCAATTTAAAATTTTATGTGGCACAAAGCCTATTCTGGCAGCTATTTGCTTATATTTGAAATACATTAGCAGTATAATCAATTAAGTCAGTTGGTGCAGCAACTTCAGTGTCGTTTTGCACAGTGGGATCGGAAGTTAACTTTAAACCTTTGTGCTCAAAGATTTTGTTTTTCCATCCCTTCACCGAATTGCTTTGTTTCCTATAGAAACTCTAATTTTAATTGCAAAAAAAATTTTTTTTCAACTGTTGAAACAGCAATACAGTTAAAAATTGTAATGCTGTTTTAAGTTTTCTATATTTTACAATATTTAATGAAGATGTTTTGAGTTTTATGTATTTTTGCCTTGCCGCAAAATGATATCTGAATTGATTGAATAAAAAATATATCTTCATTGAAATTCAAGAAATAAGTTGAAATGGAATGCAATAGAAAATGTGTATAATTTAATAGGTCGTATAAGTAAGCCATGTGGGACCCACATCACATTTTTTTATTATTTATATTAATTTGCTTTAGTGCCGCCCATACGTATAGCGTTTAGAGGAGCCTATTGCGGTACCCAAGAGCACGGGTTCGAATATCGGAGAAGCCGTGGATGTTAGTAAATGTATAGTGTTTCTGCAGCATGGGGGCAATCTAAATATATATCAAGCCGAAAATCCTCTCGTGTGGTTTGGCGGTAGGAGAGAGGGATGGGAGGCTCTTGAACTATCCCCCTGTTGCTCTCCTTCAAAACTGGGGTGGTAGTAGAGGTCCAATCTCCTTGAGGCTCTGACAACCATTCTTTCATGAATTACATGGGCAAGATAACAACAACATCAACATTTGCTTTAGTGTTATATTCAAAACTCTTGCTTGAAAATACAAAAACCATTGCTATAATGGCGTATTTGTAGTAAATTAATAAATATTTAATCCATTATTGTATAAATTAAATGTGCTGGAAACTCGAGATAATGCCAACTCCCAATCATTTATGAAAAAATTAAATGGAATTTTGAAAACATTATTCACCACATTGCATTTTCATTCAGAAGCAGGGGTGTGTACAAAATTTTAACTGTTTAGCTTATCCGGAAATAGGTTAAAAATCGACGACAAAGTTCCACTTCACAGCGAAACACCATGAGTGAACTAAATAAAAGCTTACAGTAATGGAAACAGGGACGAGTGACGAAAGGTTAGTAAATATTATTTTCTTTAATTGTTTATTGACATATTTACTCCTATAAAGTTACGAAAAATGTTTATTAATCATTTCGATGTTTAAGGAATCATCAAATATGGTATTTAAGGAATTATAATGTAAAATCATTTCTATGCAATTACTGAAATTCCTATACCCCCTCCCCCAAAATCATTGATTGGTACTGATGGGGTTTACTATTAACTTGAAATCAGCGCTTTGTTGGTTCTTTTGCTCAGCGTATATCTGTAGCTACAGATTAATCATCTAAAATTTATTACCATTGCTGCGATCCTATCAGAATAGGCAAAGAAACGCATTTGGCTTTTTATGTGGAGAAGGAGATTTCAAGACTGCGGAATGTAAATAGTATTTCAAATAAAACCTCTAGGAAACTAAGAAATACATTATCAATTCCATTTAATCGTTCTTAATTACAGTACAACATATAACAAAAATACATTATAAAGTTACATTAGTTACAACAGATATACCATTCATTTGAACAATCAATAAATATTACAAGAGCACCTGAAAGAGTATTTTATATATGTTCAGATTACATGCCATGAATATTGACATTATAAGTGTACAAGTATATACGTAGAGAGAACTTCAAACATTCTTACACAAAATTACTGCACAACATTAATTGTTCTGATTCTTATGTCAGTAAATGCAAAAACCATCATCACATGTTTTATGATACACATTTAACATCGCTTCAGGTTTGTGAATGGAACATTTTGTCCTTATAAATATTTTAACATCTAAAAAATGCAAAATAAAAATTATAATCGCCATTCAAATAGCATTTCACGTTCTGAAGCAAAAATTTTAACCATTGTAAAAGTAATCACTGCTCAGTCTTCCTACTAAAAACGATAAATTAAAAGAAAAGAAAAGATACTGTGGGGAATATTTCTTTGATACTCGTTAATGTTTACCCATTTTTATATGTATTTTAATGTATTTTTAACGCTGTTCGAAATTACATTAAAATACAAATCTCATTTCATGTTTTTGTTCCTTTTCATCCACTTAAGTTATTTTCCCTGAATCATATAAATATATTTTTGAGTAGACAAAACATTTACTTCGTAAAACATGTTACAGTTCTGTACTCAAAATAAAACTTCACATAAAAATTATATGAAAATTGGCACCTGAAGAATTTAAGCTTCAGATATGATTTGCTAACATCAAAGAAAAGATAAATTTAATTACGGAACAAGTAATAATCCGCCACTTGGAAATCTTAATATCATAATAATGTTGGGAATAGCCATCCACAGAACACATCACTAAATGTTATACACAATCTTTTACAACACTGATACATAAACCTTCGTACAGCTAAATTCTGTAAATCTTGTACGAATGAAATACTTGTGTGTTTGCATGTGGTCAAAAGAGAAAGGATAAATTTGCAGCAGACAATCCAACAACTTACAGAGCTAATGCATTAATTCAAAACACCTATCTCACTTAGAGATTTAAGAAATAAATTTTAATCTTAATTCAAAATTTGATTTTTAAATAACGAAAACGTTATATTACAAATTATTGCCTCAATATTTTCATGCTATATTAAGACAATGCATAAATGCATAGTAATAATTAGCAACAAATAAATAAAACAGAAAGTAGAATCATTCTTTCACAAAAGTCAATAAATATTTTGCTCCGTTCCGAAAAATTGGAATTCGCTTTTAGCGTAAAAATTTTTCGGTCTTGAGTTTTAACAGTAATACTGATGTTATCTTAAAAATAGTTCCCAATTCTTATTCATGATAATATATTAGTTAAAAGTATTCATATCATAATTGAAATACATTTAAAATGTCATGTGAATGTTCTGCATTAACGTAAAATGTATTCTTTGAGTAATGAACGTGCTGAAATACAAAACCCTAAGTTTATGTCTGCATTTTTCAACAAAGCGTTTCTTGTAGACTCTTTTACACAGCTTCGACATATAGATTTCTTAAAAGTCTGAAATCATTGTCGAGTTTCGAAATAATTCCACTATTTTAAAAATCTCTCCTCCTTTTTCACATAACAACTGCTTTACATTCTGTTATAGTTCCGTTTATTAGAACTCTTGCTAATAAAATTCTAATGAAAAGTATTAGATTTTCATAATAAGTGTACATGAAGTAATTGAAGCTTTTCAACACAGCTAATTTGACCAGATTATGAAGAAAACAAAGAAATGATGAAAGCTATAATGCACAATAAAGGGAATTATGCATTACTTCATCTTTTCGCACGCAATGCATTTCTTGATTTATATTACAATGATTTAATCTGGTATGATTCGTTGAATATAATGTAAAACATGAATTGTATATGCGATACAAGGTTTCTTTATGTTAAACATTACGAAATATTTGCTGTATATTAAACGAATAAACTTTCCTTATTTACAATCAATAATTTCATTCTTCAAGTTTTGTAGATTTTGCGTTACCATCACATAATCTGCAAAGTAATCTTTGATGAAAATCAAAATTTCCGTTGCTAAGAAGAATATGAAGCCACATGCTGTGCAGTTCACTAAATGGACTTCACCACTATCTTATTTCACTGTGATACATACAATGTAGCTGCTAGTTCGCATCACAGCCCAGCAGAATGCATTTAGCAATAAGATAACGATAAAGCTACTTTTTATATCCACGATATTTTAAAAATTCTAGAATTTGCGCAGATAATTTTAGACAGCATTTTGCAGAAAATCGCTTCAGTTCTTCACCCCATTAGCAACATCTACTCACTGGAATTCCATAATCTATTCTTCAGTTAGTTCAGATGACCAAACATTATATACAAATCGAAATTATTTGGTCCATAGTGACAACAATTTATTTTTCCGGTGCAATTTTTTTTTTTTTTTTTTTTTTTTTTTTTTTTTTTTTTTGTGTGTGTGTGTGTGAAATGCAATCAAACGCAGATCTTCGAAAATATGAAAAATTAGGTTTTATGCAAAATCTGACTTTTCCAAATTACAAGAGGGCAGGTTTTGTTCTAAACTCGTATATCGAATTTTAATAAAAATTAAAGCTACTTTTATTGTTGCTTTCACGCAACTGCTATAACGCCCGCTTCAGTATTTTGAATATTACACTTGAGTAACTTCACTTTCCAATGACTGTTTGTTAAATCCATTGCGAACAAGTTGTCCATCCTTCTCATGTTTCATTACAGTGACAGCAGTGGATTGCTCCATTTCATGACATTTGACTTTTAGACCTTGCATTGACTCTGTCTTGCGTTCTCCTTGACGGCTGGAACCACCACGAGTAGTTTTGGGAAAGAAGCTGTTTTCAACATGCAACTGGGCATTTACTTCTCTGCCAGCAGCGCATGTAAAAGCCTTAGCGAAGCTCTTCTTAAAGTTGTCACTAAGAAAGGCGTACAATATTGGGTTAACAGCTGAGTTGGCGTATGAAAGACAACCAGTCAGCAGCATCATGGTGAAACTAAACGTATTCTGTCCAGAGTCAGGGGGCATGAATGTGAGCCACACTTGTGCACACCAATACGGCAGCCAGCAGATGACGTACACCGTGACGACAGTCAAAACGAGATACGTCACCTTCCGGTGCGTGCGTTTCTTCTCCTTGCTCTTATTTTTAGGCCCTACTCTTTTCAGCTTGCAAATGACGAGAAAATAAAAGACGAGTATTAGCACCAAGGGTAACGCAAAACCCAGAGTAAACGCATAAAGAGTGAAGGCCATTTCGCCATTCATATACGCGTTCTCTGGCCAGTATATATTGCAAGATATGTAAGGTCCAGTCTTGAGGATGCTGGCATACATGTAGATTGGGACCATCAATAAAGCAGATAATGTCCAAGCTGTGAGACAAATGAACTTTGCAATGAAGGGAGTTCGATATCTAGGGGACTGGATAGGATGACATACAGCTACATATCTGTCTGCACTCATGACTGTCAAAAGAAGACTGCTGGTGAACTGATTGATGCTTGTAGTAGTCATATAAACTTTACACATTACTCTACCAAATGGCCATGAGTGATAAATCATCGTTGTTAGAAGAAATGGCAATCCAATAAGAAACATTTCATCCGCAAGAGCCAAGTTTAAAATATACATATTGGTTACTGTTTGCATTTTCGAGAATCGTAGAACAACATAAATTACAAGAGTATTTCCACACAACCCAACTAAGCATACTAAACCATATAAAATTTTCGCAAATTGAACAATCAGCTCAGGCGGCCCGAGGAATCCATTCAAATCGTCCTCTGGCTCTTCAGAAAAGCTGCAGTTTGTATCATTGGGAATAAAAAATGGTAAAAGGCTAGTACAATTTGTCGACATGTTGTACAAGAGCAAAGCTACATCACTTAAACCAGCCATTCTCAAACAAAGAGCACTTAAAGGATAAAGCAGATTTTCACATATATGATCAATTTTTGTTGTTATTTTAACACCCAAAAGCACATTTATTGATATTAATAGTTAAATAATAAGAAATATTGAATTTAAGATATGTTCATTTATTTTTCTTAAATATCTCTGTAAATGTCTTCCGCTAAACACATTGGCTATATACCTTTGCTAAAAATCCATAATATATAAATCGAATATATATAAGTAGATAGTTCAAAAATACTTGAGAAACATCGGCAATCCACAGCAATACCTTAACGCTAACTGGGATTATAAGTTTAAATGAAATATCTTGCATACACTCAATATCGGGTACCTCTTAAGTAAATATTCCTTTTTTTTGAATTAATATAGTTATATTAAGCGTATATTGAATTATAGCAGTCGCTATAATTCAATTTCTTTACCACTTTACTTTCAACTTCTAGAACTAATGTAGTCTGTAACTGAAATCTGATGGCATACGTAATTCCTTTCTAAATAAGGAATGGAAAATGCCTTGCGATTGACTAATAAAAAAAGAATTTCCTCATACAGTAAATTCGATTTGATGCCCGGTAATTTCTTCCTGTACTTTATCGAATCATTTGCTGGAATTCATATTTTCCTTCAAATAGTTCGATGTTCCAATCGACGATATTTCACGACACTTTCGCAATATTTTTTGGCAATCGCATTAGAATTATTTCAGTATTTTGTGAAGGAAACGTTATTGACCTGAATCGTTTCGAACCATCTAGATTATGATTTCCATTCGGAATTTTTTGACGCTTTTACTTTTTTGATTATATATTATCCTTATGATACTGTGAATAAAATACGTTCTCTTATTCAAGTTTTTGCATTTATTCTTTATCTCACCACAGAATAAATTGTGAGCGTGAGAATCTAAAGTTGATTATTCAACTTTCGAAGGTGAAAAGTAAATAGTCAGCAAGAATTCTATAAAAATAAAAGTTCCTGTACTTAATGAATTTATAAAATTATCTGTGTTACACTTAAAACTTTTCTAGGGCTTCAGATTTAAATTTAAGGTACGAGTATTTCTTCGTCAGCATTTATGTGTCTTCTAAGACAGTTAGAAGGAGAGAAGGCAAAAAATGGAATTATTGGAAAGTCTGGATGTTATATATTGATTGCAGTGATGCTGATACATCTCGATATTTTGAATTGGTATCTGCAATTTTCACGATGACATTCAGATTTTGTGAAAAATGTGCGCTTGTTTGCATTTAAAGTTATATTAAATGCTTTATTAGAGATATTTCCGTACTTCTTTCATCTTGAGAGTATAAATGGGGAAAATGCCAGTCGTTCTTGTCGAATAACCATTCATATTCTTCATTTGTACTTTCATTCTATGCCCGTCTTCAGTTTGCAAAATTCTATGAAGCTCCAGTCCTACAAAAGAAAGAAAAATTAAATGTAAACAAATGCGTGTTAGTTATTTATAAAAAAGCCCGATTTTGTAAAAAATAAATCTCATTCTGTTCCTAACAACAAATTTGTTTCTATAGCTATCATAAGAACTTTAACTGCTATAAAACTGTATTCTGCGTGTGTATAGATAACGTGAAAATTTAAAAAGAAAGAAAATGTTTTTAATAAAAAAATTTTTTACATAATTTTTAAAAATGCAAATGATTATCTCTGTGACCTATAATAATAATAATAATAATAATTACCAATAGTGTCTTTGTTAATACTTTTTCTGCTATTATTAGACCTTTCTAGTGAGAAAATACACTATGCATTTTATTACATGTCGCGTTCGAATAAGCAATCATTAGTCAAATATCTTCATTCTTCAAAAATCGCCGCAGTTCCTGATGATCGAAATTTGGGGGGAAGGAAGTACATTAAATTTAAGAAAAGAGCTTAGCAACCACGGACCTCTCGAATACTCGAACCACGGACCTCTCGACTACGCGTTGAGCTTGCTGACCACTAAACTACGAAAGTATGCTGATAAGGCGGGAGAAATACCTCATATATTCCCTCTTTTAAAGGGCAAACGGGGGTTTAGGGGATCCAATCGCCAAATCCTGGTGGTAAAGAATCATCATTCACCACCTTTCTGTTCGGGCACCACTGTAGAGACATTAGGTATTTTTGAAAGCAAGAGAGATTGAACAATGAGCAATGCCTTTGCCAGGACTCGAACCACAGTCCTCTCGAATACGCGTCGAGCGTGCTGACCACTACACTATGAAGGCCTGCTAAGAAGGCGGGAGAAATACCTTATAATTGAATGTGTTTCCAGACTGTTAATCAATACTACTGCATTGAAGTGAATTCGTGAAAAAATTAGGAAAAAAAAACGCCACAGTTGTGGAGTGATGGATGACTGTTGCACCAGGACAACGCCCGCTCACACGGCGCTATCTATCATGCAGTTTCGGAGCAGCAAAAACATTACTGTGATAGGGCATCCTCCTTATTTATCTGATTTGGCTTCATGCGATTTTGTTTTTATTTCCTTAATCTTAGTTAAATTAAATCTTACTTAAAGGGAATCCATTTTACCTCAGCTGAAGAGGTTCAGGCAAAATCGGAGAATCTCCTGAAGGGCCTTCCAAAAACTTCGTTACAGAAGTGTTACCAGGAACGGCAGCACCGAATGCAGAAGCGTGTGAATGCTGAAGGAAGATACTTTGAAGGTGATAATGTCCCGGAGAACTGATTCTGTAAGTACAATGATTTATTGGACCACTCTCTTTTTTGCGTCACGCCTTGTAAGGAAGATACTTTGAAGGTGATAATGTCCCGGAGAACTGATTCTGTAAGTACAATGATTTATTGGACCACTCTCTTTTTTGCGTCACGCCTTGTAAGGAAGATACTTTGAAGGTGATAATGTCCCGGAGAACTGATTCTGTAAGTACAATGATTTATTGGACCACTCTCTTTTTTGCGTCACGCCTTGTATAATATTATTATTACCAATTAAACCAAAAGCAAAATTCATTATAGAAGTTGTGTTTGTAAACAGATGACCGGTTATGAAATTCGGGGACTGTTGATGGCTAACGGTAAATAGTTATTTGTAATTGCCCCCAGTGTCTGTCTACACTAAACTTGAACAGATATAATGCATTTGGGGAAATTGTACATAAGATTTTTGCGTACGTTAGAGGGAGAGAATGGTTGGGAGTTCTGGAGAGTGATGACGAGTTGTATACTGAATATACTTTGCTTTCAGTAACTTAATACAATATTTTTTCGTAATCAATTGTAATCCAGCAGACTAATGAAAACCAGTCCGGGAACCAAATAATATATACTTTTTTTTCTATTTTCGGGTCACAAAATCGAGGTGCGTACTATACATGGGATACAAGGGATGTATGGGATCTTATTACATGGGAGCATCTTATGCAAGGATGAAACACTTCATAGGGAGTTCATTTCTGATATAAAACTGGTTAGATACCCAACAAATGGTGCTGACTAAATTCCATTTCATATATGGAAGGGCAGCTTTAAAATACTATCATGATATTTGAACAGAAATTGCACATAAATATGCACTAATACTTAAAAATATTGTTACGAATTTGGTATTTAAAAAGCTAATGTTAGTTCAATTATAATTTAAATGGTTTTATTTCTCGCGCAGTGCAGCGCGTGACGAATATTAAAAGAAAGCTAAGCCGGAAAATTGAAAATACAAGAGCGCGTGCATTAAATAAATAAATATCTCTTTTTGATTTCGAGAAAGTACTGGAAAATTCTAGCGCGTGATTTTAAACTCTTATAAAAGGAGGAAAACATCTCAGTTCGTAGGAGTTGCTTAGTTTGTTGTTGTTTAGAAAACTGCTCTTGTTGATTGTAGCGAATTCGCGGATTAGCGTTCTTTAGCTGTTTTGAATTACGTTCTATTGGACATTTGAGTAGTTAAAAGAAAACTACTGTGAGATATTGTAATACTGCATGATAATTTGAGAAAATTTAAGCATTTTTGTTGTGATAATAATAAATTTTTGTTCATTTTTCATCGGACTTGTGCATTCATTTCATAACGAACCCGTACGCACGCAACAATATATAAAGCGCAACACTTACAAATATATAAACCACATGCAAACACAAAAATTACATATAAGCGCATAAAACACATACAAGGAATACAATTACTCTAGCAGTTATAAATACATAAAATACTTATAAACATATAAATCATATATATGCACATAAAACACGTATTAATCAAAAATTCGCGACATAAATACGTATTAAGTATCATGTGTGCATTAATGTCGTATTACATGTATAATACGACATAAAAATTACGTACGTGCTTCCATTTCACATTATTTTTATGTCACTGTGCAGATCTTAAGTCTGAATAATTGAAAATTAATGCTAACGAAAGTTCAAACACGTAGTATAGTTTGAAGAAACACATAAAAACGCATATACTGGCGCTTAAAACATGTCTGATCTAAGTGTAAAAACGTGTCTTCAAATTAAATTGAAATGCAGACAGGTACCGTATGATGCACGTATCCGGAACCAGAGAAGTATCTAATATACAGACAAAATAGTTGCAGGAAGATTAAATAATCGTTGATATCGGATCGCTAAGCGTAAAAATGCGTGCAGTTCTACAATGCTACAGCAGAAAGGTATACAATTACATGAAACTACAGCCGAAAGATACACACAAATGGAGCATGTCATCTAAGGAGACAGACTATCATATCACATAGTGTTAAACATAGAAAATGCCGTGGTTCGGAAAACAAATATTTATTACTGAGATATGTAGAGATACACGCAGAGTTACATGCAAAGAAGTACAAGCAAGCAGAGATGAGCATAAGCAGAGATAAGCTGGTTCATCTGGATCATAAATTTAAAGTCTGGCCTCTACTACAAAGAGTAATCACCAGTAGATATCTTGGCTCTTGGGCTCTTACTTTATTTTGTTTTTCAATCAAAGGCACACTGTCTTGTGTACCGCGTCCTGGGGACGAAAAAACTAAGAAACACTGGTGGCAAGTCAGGAAAATCATTCCTTCGTGAAAGTTCAAGCATTTAAACAAAGATGCTGAAATTAGTCCATTTAAGCAATAATGCCTTCGTAAATACATGAGTAGGTGCGGCTGAAGACTTACACACAGTTAGCAGCTACGTGAGCGTGCATAGAGCAGGAGAGACAAGTACATCGTAAAGTCACAACATAAAGTCAAATTCAGATTGATCCTTGCTTTAAGCAGAGCAGTTATGATGATGAGACGTAAAAAGCTTGTAAGGATCTTAAGTTTTACTAACGTTTATTTTATTTTAAAATCTTTACTATCACTTCTTATTTTCTACTTCCGGCCAGAATTATAAGCGTGAAGGAGTTTATGCAAAGTTGTCTGGCGAACGCCAAGTATTTAAGTGTGGCCTTTTTGCCAAGCAGAAGAGAGGAAGCCGTGAGTTCGAAGCAGGCCGCTTACCTTAGAAGTTACGCAGTTGCTACTTTGCCTTCCAGGCCAGAGGTTTTAATCCTCTTGATAAATTAAACGTATTGTAGTGTTCACAGTCTCTGTGCTACATACGCTTTCTGTTATTATAAGGCCAATCTTATTCTAAAGTTAAATTAGAGTTTAGTTTTATTTTGATATCTTTTAAGTTAGACCCCGAGTGGAGGGTCATTGTATTCCGAAGTACGGAAGTCATTGTATATAAAGAAAAAATAAAGGGTTTTGTATACCCTTCGTCTGTATCCTGTCTACTTACTACAATTAGTGAACATAGCTTTAGTAAGCTCTCTGTTCTAGTCAGGTCATTGTATGTTTCCGAAGAAGGTTAGAAGAAACATTGAACCTGATAAGCTGATATCTAAAATATATGTAATTAAAAAAAATTAGCTGGGATTATTCTAACTGAACTTCAGAGAGTAAGTAATTTCCACGTTCGTAAATATTTAAATTACACAGTTCAGTGGCTTTGCAAATCAAAGTCCGTTGAAGAAACACGAAAAGCACATTTTAAAATAACACCAGACTTGGCTATACACAAAAACAGTGCACAGTTCGCTTTGATAAGATACGAAAAAAAAACGAAATATTTACATTATGTACATCACTACTACCGTGGGTTGTGGTGGATGGAACGTGGGCGTTTTACAACACTCTCCTGAGTGGGATCGTATGTAGTAAGATTTTTTATGGCAGAGTAGGGAGAATTTTGCATACTTGTGAAAAAATCGTGTGCTGTGGTCAGAATCTGTTCCTGAATTGGTAGAATTTTTAACTCTTCATAGAGCTGCGAGTTTCTTATAAACCAGGGTGCATTTGTAATAGATCGAAGTATCTTGTTTTGTAACACATTCATCTTCTGTCTGTCTGTTTTCGTTGCTGTAGCCCAGGCCGGCACGGCATACAATAAAACTGGGCGAATTAAGGTGA